CCCGTCTTTTGGGTCTGTGACCTGACCTGGGCGGTGTTTCACGGCACGCTGCCAGCCGCTGCCAGCGCTGATGGCACTTTTGGTTTCAATGGAGACATCAACAAGCCTATACCCACAACACTACCGAAGGCTGACCTTAGCTCGCGGAATGCGCTGTCAGCGGCTGTCAGCACGACCGTGAAACACCGCCCTGGAAGGTCAACCAATGACCAAGGACCTTAAAATCGGGTATCATCGGCTTCGTCTCGTCACTCACGGGCAACACGCCTGTTTTTTTTTCCGCGAGCTCTAGCTTAAAGGGACTATCCCACCTTCTAAAATGTTGTTAAACCAGTTAAATTGTGCCCGACCTTATAGATTGGATGACCAGGAACACGGTTCTGGCATTTATTTTTCATTAAACATCTTAGGCTTCCCATATTCCAAACACAAACTTTCAAATATGTGACGTCACAGCCCAAAATTACCTCCTTCCCCAGGCCACATTACTGTCATAAAGCTGATTCTTTTTACTCTGTAGGCACCACAACAAAGTTCAGACCAAGTTTTAAGCGATTTTTCAACGAACAAACCCATTTAAATCAGAATGACTAAACGAGGTGACGTCACACTAACGGTCGCTCCATGTTGAAGATAGGGCCTTGTGCAAGGCCCATTTTCAAATGAAGGGAACGAATTTCTTCAACACCAAGAGGCCGCGGGGGTTGCAACCTAGATAGATAGTGGTTTCTGAACCTCGCCGCAAACTTGGCTATCTCAACTCAAACCCCATGTTAAAGGTGGGATAGTCCCTTTAATCAGGGGCCGAACGGCAGGGGGTCCAACCGACACCTCCCAGCCCGCGAAGGCTGCGCCACGCACCGACCCGGAGCGGGCTAATTGGTCGACAAAAGCAATTTGAAGTGTTTTCAAAGTAATATTTAGGCTCGGGTTGGGTGGGCTACCATTTCTATTTTTTATTTTTAGTTTAAAAAAAAATATCGTTTCAGGGCTGTGACGAAAAAATAAGTGGCCTAAATCCGATGAGAAAACAGGATTTGGGGGTACCCTAGGTTTGGTTACTTGCAGGAGTTGGCCCCCCCCCAAAACGCAAGTCTGGATCCGCCAGTGGCTTGGATTGTAGCCAAGGGTCCATTACGGAAGTGATTGCATTAATTGAGAAATGGTACAGATCTTACGTAACTCAACTCGGTAAAAAAGCTTATGCTCTATGGGAGTGGTTCTGTCAAATAACTTGTGAAGCTGCAAGCACACTCCGTTTACCAAAGCTAGCGCAGCGCTTGCCGCCCACGCCGCCGCCTGTTTTCATTTCATTGAAACGTGTGGAGGCAACCTCGCGATTGACAACATGGGAATTCCACCGGCACCCTATCCGCCCTCTGTGGGGCCGACAGGCAGCGGCTGAGCTCCGGCCGCCGCCGCTGGAGGTGTCGCCGCGCGCGCCGGGGGCTCTCACCGTCCCTGCGCCGGGCGGTGGACAGGTGAAGGGGGGGGGGGGGAGCCAGTGGGAGGGGCGGAGCCAGTCGGCCGGCCGGCAGAGCCGTCCGTGGCGCCGCCACCCCTCCCCTGGCCTCACCGGGCCGCCGCGCCGGTAACCCTCAGACAGGCGGCACCGCTCTGCAAGCCTTTGATGACATGACTGGCCAGATTTACTACCATTATCGTCAATGACTTATCGGAATGACTCTTGGCAACCGTTCTCCACTGTTCAGTGACCTATGTATCGAGTGTTTCCCTTATAGGAACAAACCGATCATTTGGTCAAATGTTGGAGTGCGTGCACACTGCGCCGGCTATGTCGACTCATCAGTGCAGCGGCGACTCATGCGATCCAGAGTTAGCAGTCAGTTACATAAGCTGGCGGCGGCTGATTGCTCGAACAGGACTTAGAGGTTCATGTGCGTTCAGTGACTGCATTGTGCAAGTTAACGTTTCTGTGATGCTTACGCAATCATAGGCGGCGGAACGGGGAAGGCACCGGGGCACCGTGCCCCCCTTTGATTTTGGCATTTTAACATAAGCCCTATGGCGTTGCATGGAAAGAATGAGACCAAAAGTCGGTAGTGCCCCCCCCCCCCCGTTAATTGAAGGTGTTCCACCGATACTGTACGCAATAAATGTCGCATACGAAATGCACCATCAAAACGGGATAGTGTTAGTAAGTCTGATGAATTCACATCAAATGAGTCTGTAGCCAACGTGATTTGCCCTATCAGCATTTCCATAGTCGCCAGGTTTGAACTCCGGGCGTGAATGTCTGGCAGTCTTATAAATTTTCATATCATTTTTGACTGATGTTTGACGGGACTGGCCCTGTTTGCTCAACTTCTTTCTCGAAGACACTTTGTCTGCATAGATAAACAAAGTCGTAAAACCATTTAGTGCCTCGATACTCAATGTTGCACTTCCTATAGCGCCATTGTCGCGCGAGATGATTTTACAATGGACTTAGGCGTCAACTCACGAAACAGCAAGCTCGCTGCTGTATAAATAGTATTTCACGAGTGCCTGACAGGCTATTAAAGAGACAAGAATAACACTCGAAATATCACGTTACCTTAAAGTGAGAGCTAAGGCCCAAGTCTACTATAGCAGTGGGCCAAAACGGTGCGCAAGATCAAGATTATCTATGACCCGGGTTATATAACCTGTAGAAAGCGGCCGGCCTGACTGGTTCTGCTTTGCCCTCAATGGCCTACAGTGTCACTTCATGTCCGGAAAGGATTCTTCTTCTAATGTTCATTACCGCTCTTTTAATATCCTGCTGCAAAACCCATGTCACTCTCACTTGAAACCACGTTACGCTGAGGCCGTGCGTATTGGATCCTTTCTTGTACGGATGCTGTGTTTTGTGCTTACTTATTGTCACGCATTTGTTCTGCTGAACCATACAAAATTATCTCAGATAGCAACACGTCATATTGTGTTTCATAGTTAGGTATATATTGAGCGAACTTACTGGAAGCGATAAGCTGAATTTTCGAGCATTTTTTCTTGCTGTGAGAGGTCTGATATGATTGCCATTTTTAATAATTGGTATGAAAAAAACTGAACATTGAGAAGGAGGGTTAGTACCTGAATAACTTTGTGCAGCTGGATTAATTGATTTTGTCTTAAAGCTATCGGATACACACAATCCAGGCAATATGTTCTTTTTGAAAGGTTGAAATACATGTTCAACGCATGTAACTTTAGCTCGTTTTTCTTAAGTTCGACCCTCACTGTAAACAACTGCACGATATTTTCTGAGAAAATGACTGAGAAAACTGGTTGATGCACATTGTATTGAAGAGCTAAATAATGTTTTCAAAATGTGCTCTGAACACCAACAGAGTAACACCGTTCGATTGATTGATGAGTTCACTTATAATTCCCGACAAGTCGAGTATAACTTTGGAATTGTAAATGTAGATTAAACTCATTATGTATCGGTGATAGGAAGTAAAAAAAAAATGATCAACCTGATCATCTGTGAAAAGAGATGAGCGCTAGCCAGTTTTCTAAGTAATTCATCTCACAAATCTCGTGCTGTGTTCACAGAGACGTTTAGTGACGGTAGAACTTAAAAAAATGAACTATATATTTTTTAGCTTGTCTTTAAACATTTTTCTTCTAAAAAGGCAAAGCTTTCCTGACGGTTTGTTGTTACAAAATGTGATAACAAACAATTTCCGTATGCATGTGTACTCTGTCTCTTATGTAGATAGTAAGATAAAACTGCATAAGGCAGGTATACCATTAATTAGAACAAAGAATATGCAGATAATTCATTTTGCATTGTCACAAAACTATATCCAGTATACACATCGGTCAATAAGCTATAACGACTGCATGCTGCATGCTTCTGTTTGGGGTCAGGAAAGCTAAATTTATTTCTCAGTTTTTTCCTTGCGAAAGGTTCAAAGGCCATTTTCCTCGAGGTGCTTTCGCAAAAAGGGGAAAATATGTTGAATTTCATAGTTTATGGGTTGGAAGATATTTTCCATATTTACCACTAGCCAAAATATCCTTAGAAAGTAACATAGGCATGTCCTATTTGGTAAAAACCTCTGACCCCGTTGTGGCTTAAGTTAAAGGTAAATGAGTATCAATTAAGGAAATAATCCACTTGAATTTCTTAGACAAATTGAAAGGAATATCCACGACAGAGCTGCCAAAAAATATTGCCATGAACGCTTAGTATAATAAACGAATATAATGAACCCTTAGTATAATGAGCGTTTGGAATTTGAATTCTCAGTACCGAATGATATGATGCTTTGGGATACAAGCCAAGCAAATAATAAAAATAAAATAGAATATAGTAAACAGCTATGTATGTAGCCCAGCCTCGGGCGGTGAAGCATAAACGTATAGGAAGATATTTTGAAAACAGCATAAAATGGTGTTTGCAAATCAAAATGGTGAGCCTGATACTTCCGAGGTGTAAACCATGATCAGTTAACTGAAGGATGAATGATCTAACAGTAGCGTTGCGATTGTTTTAAATCAGTCGCCGCCGGATAATTGAACCCTAATTTCAAGTAAGTTTGCTGGCTGACCTTTCCGAGCGTAAATGTTTTATTGATGAATAAAAAAGCTATAAATTCCTGTTGCAATCTTGAGTGAGGCTGAAAAACACTTAGAAGAAACCTGCTGCTCTTAAACTATGAATAATTGCCAATTTGTATGTTAGAACAAGACGGTCAAAGCATGTCCCCATTCCACCGCTGGCTCCTGGCGGCTTTTTAACAGATTTTCCGGTCAAAACCGTAAGCCTGGATTTGTCGCACGGGGAGTGTCCATTAGCTTCTTACCTACGTTTCCATAAATCTGTCTGCACATCAAATCTTGCAGAAGGCATAAATGAATGGGTGCAAGAATGCCCTTGCAAAATTAAATGCAACTCGTCATGTTTCGGAGCGGAAATAGAGCTTGCCACTGTTCGAGGTGCGTAGCTACCAAGGGCAAAAAGTGACCCATGATGTCGGTGATGAGTGTCGGCGCGTCATTGAACCTACCTCGTCTCCGGCGACTCCGTCCACTGTCCGCGCACTCAGCCCACCAGCAGGTCCTCGATCTCCGGACCGCTGCCTGATCGGGGGCAGTGCGCGATCTGGCCACCAGAGGCGCTGGCTGCGCACAGCCCTCCGATCGGCCCGGCCGGCTCGGTCGGCGCGCACTGAGTGATCATATGGCCCACCCCGGGCCGTGACACGACCTAGGCACGTGGGCAGGTTCTCGGCACTAACCGGTAATCGCGCCAGACACGTGCTCGATATTGGAACAATTGCCACTTTCTAATGCATTTCGATGATGCATGATAAGGTCTTCAACTGTATTGATCCGCCAGTTTTAATAAGAAACACAATCCTAACCCGACTGTAGTGTGAAACAGTCTGTGGTTAAAAATTGAGCATGTTCTACTGTAGTTCTAATTTGGTTTCCATATTACTTTCTACTGCTCTCAACACCGGAAATCCAATAAATGAATCATTCATATATGACGTTACAACATGACGTTAGAACTTAGAACTAATTAGCGGCGCGGTGTTCAGTTATTAATATACAGCATGCAACTAAATGTATCTTAAATCCGCGCCGGTTACTGAAACTTCACCAGTTCAAAAACTAAGGATATGAGGATGACACACCGACGGCAAGGTTTTGGCGTATTCAGCCATGAGGCTTTGGGGCTTCTTTCAGAGCCAGACCTACAGACACGCCAGCTTTCGAAGGGGGACAGGAGCCGCCGGCTCGCGCACCCGCCATGTGTATTGATGCGGCATCAATACACATGGCCGGTATGCGTGACATTCGCCACATGTTTGTGCATTAAAGTGAAGAATTTAGAGGGAAAGGCTATCGATGGTGTTTGGTAGGTACTAGGTAGTGATAGACCTACCCTACTTCAAATGGTATCATTTTTTTCAATGAAAAGGTTCTGGGAAAGGTGCAACAAGAATTTGAATGCGTGAAATTCCAGGAACTTTTTATCATTATATATATTTTAACCGAAAAATTTATTTCTCCATACATGTTACCGTTGCCTCTAAAGATGAACCGTAGATAAAAAGCTACCATAGTTTCTGACTTTTAACCCGCGCCCGGCTGGGGGTCCTGGATTTCCACGCCCTGCTGGGGGGGGGGGTGTTTGAACACCCCCCCCTTCTAACTCGGCTCCTGGGCCGGCCACGTAGCGATACGCGGAAGGCGGCGTTCGAAAGAGCGTCAAAAATAATGACGAAATCACTTCGGTCAATTTTTTGGTCAGGTCAAAGGTCAGGTCACCAGAGGTCATTGAAGGCAAAATTTCGCCGATTTCCGGGTCGAATGTCGAAAATTTCCAAGAAGCCAACGCATAACTCGGGAACCAATAGAGCTACAGCGCCGCGGAAAAGCGCATTCGATAGCCCTATTAACGCCCTTTCTGAGTAATTCTCTCAGATTTGACCTAACGTCAACGGTTTTGCCTGCAGGGGGCAAAAACTGCAAAAATAGCCGATTTTTTCGGAAACAGTTTTTCTGCAATAACTTTTGACCCAAGCCTTGTACGAGCTTACTTTTACCGGCATCGTGTTCCTCTCGTCAATACGCATCGAATGAACTATAACTTGACCTTGAAAGGTCAACTTGAAAATTTGACCTCAGGTCAAGGTCATGACCTGACCGGAAAGGGTCATGTTGCATATCAGTCGATCCGTATCGTCGAGCTGAACACATCTAAGGCGTTTTCATCGCTCTAGCATGCCTCTATCAAAAGTTATTCGAGAAAAACTGTTAGATACCATTCGTGACCTAAGATGACCTCAGGGCATAAACAGGGGTCACGGACACCATTTTCATGTTCAGTGTGTCTAAACCACTTGTAATTCGGTGTTTGGGAGTGTTTATGATGTCTTTCGTCCAAAAGAGGCGCATTTCAATTTTCTCCCATTGACTTATAATGGGGAGGTCGCAAAATTGACCTGACCTTAGGTCATCGATATCAAAATTCTGAGATAAAAATTTTGTACATGCTATTGCTCTTAGCAATCGCTGAAAGTTTCAAAGCGATCGGTCACTCGGTGTAGCTATGACAGACATTGAAACTTTTTATGAGGTGAGGTCACTTCAAGTGACCTGGTGACCTGACCTTGAATGACCTTGGTCTGAAATTTTCACAACATGTGTAGAATTGATGTATGATAAGGTGTACCAAAAACGGCGGCGCGGAGCGCCGCCGTTTTTGAGATATTCGCGAAAAACCACAAGGGGGGGTGTTCAAACACCCCCCCCCCCCAGCAGGGCGCGGGTTAATATTCATAGTTCAGACTCTATACGAATGGTTTTGAAGGCTTGAAAAGTCCTTCACATCCGTGAGGTTGGCAGATTCACAGTTTTCCCCTGGTCTGGACACTGATCGCCCCAACCGGAGCTCTGAACGAGGGGGGGGGGGAACCGTCATAGGCGGGCTTACCTTTCTGTGTTACACGTAAAGTAATTTATTTTTGCACAAAAAATTAATAATAGGTAACCCTTTGCCCATAACTAACAGAAGCAAAAAACGAGTCCATTTCTTATTTGTTTTTGTCTTCCTTTAGTTATGAGCAAAAGTTTTTCATAATTATGATGATAATCACGCTCACGGCTTAAGATAACGTTTCAAACCATTCAAACTATATTTACTTTGCTTATTTACGAAATCATGTATACGTGGCACACCCAATGACGAATGAGGTCATCATATTATAATTTATAAAACAGTAGATGCGCACAGCGCCAAAACGCTAAAATATGGGTGACAGGTGCTCATCTCTAGATGATGCTCAGCACGCTTGATCTCCCGGGAGCTCTGGTGCCATATGTCGGCATCGCAGTGAACATTTATGAAGATGTTACAAGCTTCTGGGATGCGGATAAAAAGACCACGCTTGTACTATTAACCCTTGCTTGGGGAACATGAAATGTGGTCTGTTGACGCACAGATCTCGCTGGCACAGCGAGCGGCAAATACAAGGAAGGTACAATGATATTATTTTCACGTCGGTTGAACATTGAAAATCTTACAAATAGCAGCATGAAAAAGCAGGAAAAATAAGGAAATCGGAAAGCCTGAGCCGGGCGCTGCGAAACCGGTTCCATTCCAGCAGGACCAGTCCCGTAACATGACACAGTAGCATGATAGCGTCCCTCACGGGTTATACAAGCCTTTTGATTGCAGCGTTATATAAAACATTCATTGGGATGACGTGTCTAGTGGGTTACGTAAACTATTTTCGTAAGCGGCGTACACTCCGGCCATGCCACGAGGCTGAACATATAAGTCAATACCTTCGCCTTTTGCATGGTATGCTTGCTTACTCGTATGTTCCTTCATGCTTCAGTTCTCGCTGAGGGGTTAATGGGGCCATGGTATGACCTCGTTCTTTTTATGTGGCATCTGCCGACTTCCCACATGGCTGCATACGATCCACATGGTGAGGTTACAGCGTGCTTTCATAACATATATGCAATTGGACTCACAGTTTATTGCTGTGTTTAATAGATTCATTCTCTCATTCATTTACAAGCAGCTACCAGGTCTGGGCTAAGCGAAGGGGGAAGAGAGAGAGAGAGAGAGAGAGAGAGAGAGAGAGAGAGAGAGAGAGAGAGAGAGAGAGAGAGAGAGAGAGAGAGAGAGAGAGAGAGAGAGAGAGAGAGAGAGAGAGAGAGAGAGAGAGAGACCTCCGGCTTCGTCAGGCGATTTCAATCAGCGATCGATGCCGCACTGCTGACCGATGCGTTTATGGGGGCAATCTATCGCGGTCCTGCTGCGAGGTTCAGGAGAACACACACAAACAATGGCTGGCAATCGGCAGTGGGTTCGCCACTCGCCAGTGCCACGAGCCGGTGTTCTGTGTTCTGGCCCGACCCGGTCGATCACTGCACCGGTTGCTCAGCGCGATCTGGAAAATCCTGGTCTCCGCTCCCCAAGGCTCCTCCCTCTCCTCCTCTCATTTCATCTCCTCTCCGCTCGTCTCGTTTCGTCTCCTCTTTCCTTCCCTTCTCTTCTCCTCTCCTCTCGTCTCTTGTCGTCTCTTCTCTCTCCCCCTCTTTCTCTCTCTTACTCCCTACCGCACTCTGTCTGTATGTACGAGTATGTCTGTCTCTCTGTCTCTTTCTTTCTTTCTTTCTTTCTTTCTTTCTTTCTTTCTTTCTTTCTTTCTTTCTTTCTTTCTTTCTTTCTTTCTTTCTTTCTTTCTTTCTTTCTTTTTTTTCTCTCTCTTCCTCTCTCTCTCTCTCGCTCGCTCATGCTCTCTTTCTTTCGTCCTCTAGCGAGCACATCTATCGAAGAGATTGGTTTGAGAAGTAAGCGGCTTCAAGTAATAGGACAAGTTTAAAGCGAGCCTTTTGCCAGGAGGTAGTGCAACTCCTTCGCTTTATTTCTCACATTAGCAGTTAGTTAGATTTAGGTCGGCCCGTGGCACCTCCCACCAGGCTCCCGCCTTTTTTCAGCGAAATATTATCAGAAGTGAGAAGATCATGACATTGATGGCCTCATGGTCGCTCCTCATCAGCTCAAATCAAGATCGCTGTTAAATTCTTTTGTCCGCTATCATGGTTTGTATGTTCAGTGCTGAATTATGTGCGTTCTTCTATGATGAAACTGTCCCATTATTTGCTCTCTCAAGAAGATGGCTCACGTACTACCGGCTAGTTAAAATTCGTATGGCTATATTTTATCGGCCTTTTTGTGTGACACAAACCCATAATACTATAAATAGACGGTGGCAGTGATCGACAATAAAATCCTATTGGAAAAACGTGCTCCGTATTTTACCGCCCCAGGTGGGCTCCGCTTTTTGCCCTCATTATGTCGTGCGCGAGTGCTGCTTTTGGGCACGGTCCGATAAGGTCATGTCAACCCATCATTAGTAGCGCATCACTGGGCGAGGTAGGGAGGGGACACCGCCAAGTCACCCCTCGTTTTCTGCAATATTTTCCAAACCTGTGAACCTATCGCCACCAAACTTGCAGTGCCTTCTGTTGCATCAAAGTGGCACCTCTCCGTCCTAGGAAAAAATCGTTTCTAGCATAGGTTGGCTAAAAAGGATGCCCCAACTCCCCCAAAAAAAATGCCCCGGGCATTCAAGGTCCGTTTGATGAGTTACATTATCCACTTACACTACCCGTATTTCCGTGTTTGATTTCAATGTTCAGGTGAATGGTCAGACATAAATTGGAAAAACAAATATCTGCATTGTACGTATTTATTCACATTATAACTGATAAGCACTCTGCCGCTTAAAATGACGAGGACATTTTGGCATATGCTATTGGAAAGAACACATTCCTGGGCGAGCAAAACCAATATTGGCTTGCCTCGGCTCAGCTCTGAACCACAAGTTCATATTCATCTGTAGTGATGGAAAACGCAAAAGACATATGTACATATACGATTATCATTTCCCAATAGATTATATTTACCCTAGCTACAAAAGTCTGAGGCACGATCGTCACAGCTTGCACAGGGACTATGCAGTCATTTCGGGTATTTCAGCACACCAACAGGAAATAATTTGAAATTTGTGAAAAAAGCATCATGTGTTTCTCAGCACCAGATTGATTGAGATGCCTGAAATGCGCTTGAGAATTAAGATTTAACAGTGCCACCGATACCCAGGAACACACGCTGCCGAGCCTGTCGCACCCCTCCGGTACCTATATAGCTAATCTCAACACATTACCGAGCTTCAATGCCACATTCTAGCACCAGGAACGTCGTACCCCGGCCCCGCACACTAGGTGACGACGAATAGCCCAGATGCTGCCATCCTGCACAATACAGTTCAAACAAGGCCTCACATTTGACTGTTGCCTCTCGACATTATTCGGTGACTTGCCACTGACGTGAGGATGTCATACCACCAGACATCACACGGCGATGGCTCTTGGCAATGGCACGTGACAATGACACTGACAGCTACGCGCTGTGAAGAAGCTAAAGCGCGGCACTGTGGCAGCTAGCGCTACTCGTGTCTATAGGACTTGAAGAGCAGGATCAGGTAGGCGAGCAGCCGGTAGCCGACTAGAAGTGCGGCCAGGGCGCCGATGTCCACATTGAAGTTATCCTGGAATGTGAACCGAGATTGTCAGGATAGTGACAAATCTCGCGCCGCCAGGACAAAAACGGTAGCAGACTCCGAGCAGAATAGCTGTACCTATGCCCTCCAACGAACGGACAATGGAAAACTGCGTGAAACCGTTCACCCTCTCGTCGATGAAAATAGCATGGATAACATAGCATGGATAAATATGATGGATAGTTACCATCGGCTGCCAACATGATAACTTTAACCGGTAGAAAAAAGGGCACAGCAGTCTGACTTTACCACTCGCGGCGCGGACGGGCCACTTACCACGCTGTAGCTGAGAGTCTCCAGTACGACAGTGCCGTTGCTGGGGCACGCCGGAGAGCCCCCACAGTCGATGTGATCGATGTTTTGCCACTGGTTGATGCACAGCGCCTCATTGGCGTAGTTGAACCAGGACAGGTACTGGAGCCACTCCAGCCAGACGGGTACGGACCTGCAGCGGACGGGCACACACTCAGCGCCCGGCCCAGCCGCCAGCGGCCCTCACAGAGCTGGGAGCTTACGGCTGCATTCCGCCAAAATTACTCCCGGCTGAGGGTGTCTAAAAGCTCCAGCAGAACGATTCTACAAGTAATGGAGCCCAGCTTTAGCGTAATTATTGCATGGGTGCTGGGCATCAAGAAGCTGCTTAAAAAAAACGAGCCAACCTGTTCTTCACACATGACAGCTGCCACACTCAGATGCACGTTTATGTCATCCAGTTAAGTACAATCGTCAAATGACCAGCGAACCTTAAATTCCTATGTTGTCGCTCAGTACTTTCTGCCATGCAGGGCTCGCTGTTATTGTTAAGAAGGGTTTTTATTTGTTACGTCGCTGTCGAGCAACACAACAACGCTTGATTGTTTTAACATGCGATAAGCCTGCGTCGTTAAATTGTTCAAGCGTTATATGTCAAAACATGAATATCCTAGGTTCTTCCATGCAGATCACCCGACCGTCTCACTCTCGTCCGTAGTCCCGCCCACAGTGTCACTCTCGCCGGTCTGTGGGAGGTCCGAATCCGGCGGCCACTCACCCGCTATTGAGGAAGAAGCCGCCGAACAGCATGAACGGGATGATGGCCGGAGCAGTGATGGCCAGAGCCACGTTCACACTGCTACTCGAACAAGACGTCATGTAGCCTGCAGAAGAGGGACACGGAGGTCAGCGCGTGCTGCGAGCCGCACCGGGCAGAAGCCGACCGATCGTGTCAGGCGGAAATTCGAACGGGAGAGGAAAGATAGTGCACGCGGATGAAAGACAGCTCACTGAAGCAGGACGAAAACACAGGAGAGGACGTCTGAGGAATGCCCGCTTCTATATGCGCACCGAGATATCATGTGGCGCCGAATCGAAACATCATATATAACCGTTTGCTCGTTGCGTGTTTAGAATTGTGTGGTTACTCAGTTTTTCAATGCCGTTGCTTCGCTGCAGAAATCCAATTAGTGTGCCTTTCATTGGGTAAGGCATTTGGTAGGTTCCTTTTCCTAAACGCGATATGAACGTTGCCTGCATCCCGTTAACCCTATTAGTGGCAGGCTCCTGGTTAACTATTTTGAATAATTAAGTAAAGATATTTTAAAAGTTTTGAACTCATTTCGTGGGCAATGCAAGGTCTGCTTTGCTTGAACAATTTTTGACTGATTGCTTTGCCAACAATTGCAGTCGCCAACGAAATGGGAATTTTTTGCTTTTTTCCGAAAAACAGAGGCAAACAGTTTTTTCTTTCCATGTTTTGGCACTAATCGGACGTCTGGATTTTATAAACGGAGACAGCGATGAGATACCTCACTCAGGCCATCACCGTAGCCGGCCGGCCCGGGCGGTGGCCTTTCGCCGTGGTTTCTATATTTAGATAATCGCCAGCCATCGGCGGTGATAGCCATCCTACGAATTCCGACCCATGGCCTCTGCGCGACCGCACCCGCGGAATGCTCGCGCCGCCTACGGAGACGAGAAGACTAAGGAGACCGATGGGCTAATCAGAATCCGACATCACACGGCAGGGGCGGATCCAGAAAATCTCCAAGGGAGGGGCCATTAGAAACCAGGAGGCCCCCCATAATCCCACCTGTTGGAGGCCCCATCTTCCCACTTGTTGGGCCCCCCCCCCCCCTAAAAAAAACTGCGTCTATTGAGCTTATCTAGCTGTTCAGGCAACATCTCAACATCTGTGCAGGCTTGGAGGCCCTCTGTGCAGGTTAGGAGGCCCTGTAAAAGTAGTCATCTCTGTGAGTATAAGAGACCTCCAAGTTATGAAAAGCTTTACCAATCTTCTAACAAAGAAGTCTTCTCAGCTAGTCTTCTAAGAAATAACTAAGTGGGTAGGTAAAAAAAAACTCATCGGATTTCGGCCACTTTATTTTCAGGAGGCCCCCTTTTCAGCTTTTTAACTTTTTAACTTTTTATTTTATTTTTGAAAAAATCGGCCAAGGGGGGGGCCATGGCCCCCATGGCCCCCCCTTTGTATCCGCGCCTGTCACACGGTCGACTGCCTCTCCCCGCGGCATCGGATGCTGAAACGGAGTCTGACAGACATCGAGACCGAGTGCTCTGCGTCTGACCAGCGCGACCGATCACCCGGGTCACACGTTTTCCGCGCGCTAAAAAAGGAACACGGGAGGCCGGTCTCGGCAAGAGCCCTGCTCCATAATGAATGAACGGGTGGCGGCGCGCTGCGCTGTGGCCGGCGTCGTCCGATAGGGGAGGTTGGGGTAATTTGGCCGGTGGTGTAAATTGGCCCCCCACCTGTACAATATCTGATAAAATAAAATGAAATAACTCTAGTCTCTATTCATTTGTCATGGGTAGAACTAACTCGAGGACAAATGTCAAATCTTCCCCCCTCATACTTTTCTTCAAAATAAATAAAACATGAAACTTTTACTTCCGCTTAAAAAGTTGTATAACATGCAGTATTTGGGCTGTAAACGAATTCCGACATTATAGCGTCATCCTGGGGGGTTGTTCAGCGGTTCCAAGAGCAATTTCATTTAGTTCCGTACAGTCATGACGACTTTATAGACAACAAATTTCAGAATAGCAATGTGGGGTTATTTGGCCGGGACTAGCGGGGCAACTTGGCCGGTGCGCTCAGGGTCGCTTTGCTGGGGCGGCCCGTGACCTTTAGGTCAAGCGACTTGAGGTAGCGTGACCTGAAGTCAACCTTTGACCTTGACCTCCCGAGGTTAACACATACATGTTTCGATGCGGACTGACGAGAGAATTACGATGCTACTTTTAGTTTTGACCTAGCTTGATTACTTCAAAAGTTATTCGTAAAAAACTGTGCTCGCATCTAGAGCCGCTATTTTGGCTATTTTCGACCCCTGTGACCGCTGAGTCAACCTCCGAAATGCGTCAAATGCGTCGTAGGACACATGTCATTGCTGAATGCGAAGCTGACTCGCCTATAACAAAAAAAAAAAAATCCCGGCCTCAAACTAACACCGGCCAAATTGCCCCACACCCCGGCCAAAGAACCCTGCTAGTGGGGCAATTTGGCCGCCTTGTAGACATTTGTAATACGTCACACATACAATATAAGTAATTACTCTAGCATTTCAAGTTCACTGTCCAGTAAAGTAAAATGAATGCGACACCTGCCAGCGCTGAGAAAATGCAGAAATGTGTCGTCAATTTTAAGTTACATCGTTTTCTAAAAAAGCGGCCAAATTACCCCAACTCCCCTACTCGGCTCACTGCCCGAGCCTTGCTCCCCGGCTGGGGTCACGCTGCTCTGGGGTGGCCAGGACCAGCAGTGGACCATGTCACCAGAACATGTCCCTGCCGTAACAACATCAAACGATATCATCAGACAATGTAGCCAGACCTACATCAAAATGAGCCGCTGGACGCGTCCCGGTGCATTTATCTCTAGCTCGGCTCTCCAGAGCATCACGAAATCAAACAAAATAGCCAATACAAATGGATGTGCCTGTCTCCGATCAATGTCACCCGCGTTTCGGCTGCAGCAAACAAATCACCATTTTGTATTTATTAATGCTATAAGCAGAGTGATAAGAATTAAACAGCATGGATCGGGATCTTCTGTAAATACGCACACCTTTAACCCTCGCCCTGGCAGGGCATTTTTCATAACACGGCCTGGCAGGGGGGGGGGGGGTCGATGCGACCCCCCCCTCGCGATTGGCTCCTATGGCACCTAGAAACACCAAATTTTGTAGGTAGGTGGGCCCCTGGAGTTCTCGTCCCTGTGCAAATTTGGTTGCTCTAGGTCAATATTTAGGGGGGTTTTGGGGGGTATAAATGTAAAAATTTCGCTAAAAACAGGTCAAAAGTTTTTCGCTTATAACTTTTGATCTAATAACGATAGAGCAAAAAGAAAAGCACCAGTGAACTTAGCACGTCAAGGCGCATCGAATGATATACTTTTTAGCTTGCTTAAGTGTACTTAAAGTTTTCTTAAATTTTAAGTAAACTTAAATTAATAAATTAAGTTCAAGTTAATCAAATTGCATCATATCGCATATCATTCGATTCGGCTGATCACCAGGAACACAATGATACCATTTTTTTTAAGCTCTAGCGTCATTATGTGCCAAGTTATTGGCAAAAACGTCATTTGACCTCAATTGACCTCATTGACCTGACCCATGGATAAGTACACCAAACAAAGAAGCACCAAGTGACCTGCTGATAAGTACTGTGGTTTCTAAGCACAAAAGTGATAGAACGAAGCGGATATCTCCAGTATTTTCCGAATTTAGCATTTTCCCATAGGCTTAACATTACGACGTAATGACCTCTAACTGACCTCAGGTCAGTGACCTCAAAAAACCCGAACTATATGTTATACAACTCGGTGAACTTAGCACATCCTGAAAGTTTGAAGGAAATCAGTCCAAAACTGTGAGCTGGACAGGTGCAAAAAGAAAATTGAAATTTGACCATGACCTTGTACCGGTTTTTCTGACCTGGTGACCTGACCCAAGGTCACCCGGACCTGAAATTTTCAGGTCATATGTAAAAAGGTTGCCCATAGGCTGTGCCAAATTTGGCGGCGCTGCGCGCCGCCGTTTTACGCTATCTTCGAAAAACCTTAGGGGGGGGGGTCGCATCGACCCCCCCTGCCAGGGCGAGGGTTAACAGGTGACTTCTTGTTACGTTGTGAATAGTCGGCATTGTATGTATAATACATAGATATGACCTGCTTTGCCGGCATTGGTACGGAGCCCATCTATTGAATTCCCAAGGCATTAAGGTTGTTGTCCTTTTTTGGGGGGGGGGAGCACGTTTAGCGCACTTTCCGCAGGCATATTTTATAAAGCTGTATACTGACTATTGAGTGCACCATCTCTACAAGCACCGTTACCGCAATATCAAACCGTTTCTGCTAGTCATTTTAAATCTGGCTACAAAAATGTAGAACTTAATCAGTAATCAACGTTCCAGATGTGAATGGCTCGTTTGAATATCATTAAAATAATGGTTTCCTTTATTGCTGTGCAAAGTTACCCTAAAATATGTATGCACGTAACCTAGAGATTAGAATCATATACGGAGTACATTTAAGGTCCATGACATTGACAATGCTCTAATAAAAGATCAAAATCATTTAGCATTCACCTCGCGCATGTGATATAGATATCGAGCGATCTGTCGCATGCCTCCCGACATTTGTTGTTGACCGACAGTCATCAATGCTACTATCGGCAACTCGATCAGCTTTTAACGTCGGCGATAACCGGTCTCCAAAGCTACGCAGCGGTCCTGCGTTACATGACAGTCTGCTGCTAAAGGCATCGAGAGACCATTATGAATACACTCCTATATCTGTTTGGCAAAATATTGTTCAAACACCAGCTTTAAGTTTTTATTGGTAGCTTTCGGAAGCGTTACAGCTTCCTTCGTCAGCCTTGGATAGAATTCTTAAAAAGACAGATAAACACGTAAATACAAAACAATTCAAAATTCAAAAAACGCCACTTAAACTTAAAGTGGCGCAGATATTCGAGAAAAGCTCGTTTCGTAATTCGTAGCGTTCCACTTCGTTGACGAATTCGCGTACATGAGTAAGCACAATAAACAAAAACACCGCACGAACATTGACTATCATT